GTTCTTGAAAACAAAACAAAAAATCAGTAATTCCCTGTTGACTTGCTAACGTAATGATATTTCAAGGGGATACAAGTACAAAATATGGGTTGAACATGCTAAAGAAAGGCTCAGGAGAAATTTACCATATTTGCACTGTTAGTCTAAGAACGAGCTTGTTTACATGAGCGCATGAAATTTATTCAAATTTCCGAAAATAGGAATAAAAATCAGCATTACTCTGTTGACTCACTAACGTTATGATATTTCAAGGGGATACAAGTACAAAATATGAGTTGAACGTTCTAAAGAAAGGCTCAGGTGAAAATTGCCATATTTGCACTGTTAGGCTAAGATCGAGCTTGTTTACATGAGCGCATGAAATTCATTCAAGTTTCCAAAAATAGGAACAAAAATCAGTGTTACACAAGCAACTCACTAAGGTATTTAAACACTAATAAATGAATATTATAATTAGCAAGTAAAAAAAATGACCATTAAATTTAAAAAAAATATATATTGTTTAAAAAAGGCAGTAAGAGAGAAGTAAAACAATTTTGAGCAGCGCCAATTCCGTCTAAAAGTAATCATTAAATTGAGGAACTAAAATAGTTGGCATTTTCTTTCAAGACATGTGTTCTAGGCTGCCTGATTCAAGCATCTGAAAACATGAGAAAAGAAATAATCATCAACTGTCAAGTAAGTGGAATAGCAGAGCAAGTTACGGTTATTAAAATAATAGTCATTCGATCAGACAGGGTTGCCACAAAATTTAGAAAATGAAATTCCCCGACATTTCCCTGATACATTTTGGTGAAATTCCCTGACAAATGAAGATATGGCGAATGGCTAAGAAGACATAATTTGACAAAAATTTGTTGTTTGAAACATCAAACCCAATATAGAAAGCAAATGAAGAAGATTCAACAAATTTTCCCTGACTTTATAAAATTCCCTGACTGTGGCAACCCTGCCCCTTATGAGGTGTTGCCAAGTTATGTAAACTATAATTCTAAGTTTCAAAATTCATCTTTTCTGGCGTTTATCATTTCATAATTGAGTCATGTCGTGCGAAAGTCTGTAATGTATATTTTTCCAGCTTTTAGTTTTCTTGTGCTCATAATAATTTTCAAGATTTGACACCACCACCAAAGTGTAAAACAAGTAATAATGTCACATTCATCATTAAATTCAACTCTCGAATGTATTATCAACTCAAAAAAACTCAAGACAGGAAGAATGGACATGATTGGCCTCTGCATGAAACGATTGAAAGAACCCCGCACAGAGCATGGGCTCAGCGGCTCTCGATGAAAGTTGATGAAACTTTAATAGATTGATATAAAGTTCATAATTAAGGGAAAGCCAAAAAATTATCTCACTTTTGCGAGTAGAAGCCGAGATATTCGCGATTGAACCCGGACTATTTTCTGTGCGGCGGAGGTAAATTCTCCGTGTCGCCTTACCTTGCTTGAGCACTTTGGCCAGGAAACCCCCTCTCCCCACCAGGTAACTACGATGTCGCATTGTTTACACTCACTCCTTTCATTAGGACGCTCCGTTCGGGCTGTGCGATATGGAGTTCCCTGCTTCTCGCACCTCTCCCGTGCCGGCGCCGCCGGCCGGTTTAATCTGAAATGTAGTTGCTGAAACAGGGTTGACAGATGCGGGGAGAGGGAGGGAGTACGGCATTCGCACGGGCCGAGCGCATAAGCACCTATCTTCACGTGAGTGACGTGAGGTCCGATCGAGAACACCGAACGAAGAGAGGAG